TTTACGCTATTTCTCACGCTATTTGGGTAATCCTTATTTATAGGCAAAAAATAAAAAATAAAATAATAAAATACAAAAAAAAATGTAGGGCACAAAATTGAGTAATTTCTCCCATGGCGAATTTGAGTGATTATTAAATCATGTTTCGTATTTCTCTTGAAAAAAAAATTGAAAAATTGATATCAACATATCTAAGATTGATCTTTTGGACTATTAGAATCATGAAATGTTTATGTTTCTTAAACTCAAAAGTGAAATGAAAGGAACACTTCATTTTTTTCTCCAAATGATGAGGAGATGCCAGAATTTGATGAAATTGTACTAATAATTTTTTATAGTGAAAATATCCGTAACTTTGATAGAATTGACGATGATAGCCAAATTCAATTGGATAACACCGATCATTTTAAGATTTTGAGTCTTTATTTTAAACATTAAGACATTGGTTGTTTGAAGAATTGATATTTGAATGTTATTTTTTAGATTCAATGTCCAAGTTTATGGTTTAAGACCATTTTAACTATTTATTCGCTTGTATGGTTATATATTATTATTTTTAGCATTAAAAAAGAATTGCTCGAATAGCTTACGTATATTTTAAACATTAAGACATTGGTTGTTTGAAGAATTAATATTTGAATGTTATTTTTTGGATTCAATGTCCGAGTTTATGGTTTAAGACCATTTTAACTATTTATTCGTTTGTATGGTTATATATTATTATTTTTAGCATTAAAAAAGAATTGCTCAAATAGCTTACGCAATACGCTACGCAATATAAGGACCAAAACGCGATGCATTGCGCGATGCGCGTTTTAAAACACTGCTCCTATGTGTTAAATTATAAATTATGATGGTCCAGACTATTCCATATATGTAGATTTAAACTTTTATAGATGTCAATTAAAAAATTTAAAATTATAAAAAACATTGTCAATTTAAATTATAAAATATTATATATTAATAATTTTTTATTTGACACTTATATTGCATGTATACACAACAAAAGATAATTATATCTATCTATTAATAAAATAATATGATTATCATTGACCAATTAAACTAAATTTAATATAGAGTTGAAAAAGTTAATACGACCTAAAAGCAATCAAGTTTTATGGATGGTGGATATCATTTTAAACAAAATAATAATGCAACATTTTTGTTACTGAAGTATTAAAAAACTTATAACAAAACCTCTGATATTCATTTTTCATAAACCTTTTATGTATGCATTTCTTAATTAATACCAGTGTGAATTCATAGTGCAATATTGCAATACAGCCTATGTTAACAATGCATATAACAGTTCATAGTATTTAAAATGTTGTTTGTTTGACAGTTTGAGCATCATTTACTCCTATATTATATATATACAATTCCTGATGCATATATATTATATTTGCTGCAGGATGACTAAAACTATTTAACTCGCACTAAAATGTTATGTGGGGAAAAACATTTTTTTCTTTTGAAAATTATAGACGACGGACTAATATTTACCCATGAAAATAACATTCACACCAAATTACTAGGCTTGATCATGTGTTTTGAAGTTTATTATTATAATTATTATTATTATTTATGAAAAATGGAAAACCATTTGTTTACTAAGATAAGAAATGGATCGACTCAAGGATTTTATTTGGGCTTTAATACCACCAACCCCATATTTGCAAACAAGCCCAACTAACTAGGCGGCCGTGCAATGCCCAACAACCGCCCATTATATGATTTAAATCCACCAAAATTTCATCATTTAATCCACGTTTCCCACGTAATTTAAATAATGATCGTTTACACTGATACATTTGTGATTTTATTTTGTAAATCACTAACACCACATATTCTAATAACCTATCTAGTTATTAGTCATTATACATTCTTGAATTATGTTACTTTGGCATATTTTTTTTGTTATAATGAATGGAATGAATGATAAGTAAATACAATAGCTGATTTTAAATTGTAGTATGTAAAACCACAAAATATTGTCACCTATGTATTATTTCAAATTTGATGTCAATTATTATGTTTACTGTAAAATAATCCCGCATTATTAACAAAACTGATAGATTTTATATTTTTGCTGATTTTCAGAGTAAGGCCTTTGAATATTTAAATACAGAAGAAAAAATATAGTGAAAAGATAGGGGTAGATATCCTAACATCAATATTAATGCATTAACGAATATTAATGATATAGAAGCAAAATATTTATATTTTTATATAATATAACAAGATAAATTTCTCGATCACCTGTTTTATTGTCTTTAATTAACAAACCTACCCAGTTTGCAAGTCACAAACTATAAACAGGCATGATTTAATGTATATGGTCGAAGCGGAAGCTATAGGTGGCTTCCGGCTAATTATAATGGTAGTTGTGTCTATTATGCAGTTGTCAAAGTTAATTAACTAAACGCGGAATATCTTGAAATTGCTGGTCACATAACTATAGTACTAAGGGGAAATTACATGTCTTTATCAAAAATAGAGTCAAATTTCATGTCACTATCTCAAATTCCTGTGATCACTATCCATCATGACCTTCACATTGAATTGTACAAAAGCTATGTAAATTAATCTCAAATTTCATGGCATCCAATTTGCTAGTGAAAGAGCTTTGAAGAATAGTGAAAAATCCTCTAAGACAATTTTGTTAATTGTCAACTTCACTTATACTTTTGCATTCTTCCACACGTTGCACACTACTCTCCCGACCTCCTTTTTCACATAAGATAAAAATTACAAATATAGAGTAACAGTAAAAGGGGCATATGTAAGGTTTTGGGAGATACTTGGATCTTTTCTGTAATTAAGATAATTTTTGGGGTGATTTTGTGATTAATTTACCTCGTTCGTATGCTTTGGCTGCTACTTTAGTGACAATCTAAGCTGAAATCTACCAGATGATTACTGAAGGCGAATATATCAGCCCTTCTGAGCAGCTAATGACTAAGTTGTTTTGAGAAACGAGAAACAATAATGTAACTATCAAAAAGCATAAATTGAAACTTGCATTTTCATCTCTAGAATGATGTCCTCAAGTTCAGCAAAATAACAGAAAATCCCATCGAATCTAAATGTTTCAAATATCCCTCAACATATGCTTTTGTTTGACAAGTTGCTCTACATAACAGATGCACATATATGCTCTACACTACAGATGTACTATGTTAAAAAGGAAAAAATGTTGATCATGAAGAAAAGACCAAATACAATAATCGAAAAAAAAAGGGTTTGTTACTCCCATTTGATACTTGTTTCCATTTAACAAATCACATATATATTCAGAAATGCATGTTTGTTAAATAAATACAAACCTCTGCCATTTTTGTGATTTATGTCATCTGAAAGATAATCGAATTGTATTTTCTTTATGCAACTCAGGCAGTTTCAGAAACAACCAAAAGGCAGTTATTGAAGGCAAGAAACCTATGGGAAAGGCAACAGAAACATTATCGATTAAGGAGAACACTTGGAAATTTGGAATTGCCCATGGACATATGCTTAGTGCAAGCATAGTGTTTACCTGAATATCATCATTGAAAACAAGATGGGTGGATCCATACTTTGCAAGCACATCAAAAGCATTGTGATTTGCAAAGTCATCAAACTGAAAAGAGTAAGTTATGGCAAAAATCAAATAAATAAACAGTATTTTCCCAAAAAAAAAAAGTAATAAAAATAAAATAACCTTAACAAGGACCTTTTCTCCATAATTTTGTTTAACCGAATATATAAAGTCATCCAAAAGATCAGAATACTCCTGACTAAGAGATTAAATCCAGATGGAATGCAAGTAAGAAAAAGCAATTGCCTTTAAATGCTTATCCCGAATAGTAATTTTTTTTCAAGTAAGACACGAACCTGCCTTGTTTCTCTCTTTCAGAGCCCAATGTAAAATTCATCATTTAACACCTGCTCATTGTTGGTACCAACATCAATCATTACGGGCAATATTGATGTCCCAGATTAATGTGCGGGTAAAATCGATGACCTTAACTTGTATAGGATCAACCAGAGTCACTGTACAAATACTCATGACCATGACCCAGATTAATGTGCGGGTAAAATCGATGTCCTTAACTTGTACAATACCCGTGTATTATACGGATACTTGTTCAGAAAATTATATTAAAATTAAATAATAATAATAATAATAACAACCATAGCCAAATTGCTTTTCTCCTTTTGGAATTTGAGTTTCTTAATGCCAGAAACAACACAAGAAAGCAAATAACATTGTGAAACCCACCAAACAGCAGCAGTTGCTTCCATTCACATACAACCGAGTTTGTACACAAAAATGTTGTTTAATTTATATACTACTTCATATCATCTAAAGTCCAGGCACAATAATCTTAAACAATAAATTCATAAAGTGCATGTGATTTTAATGTTAAAGTCTTTAAACCAAGAGGAGCTCCCAGAGTTTTGCAAGTTTTGGAGGCAGGTTTGTGAACTAAATGCCGATTAGAGTGGTGCACAGTGCATCACATATCTTTAAAGGGGAAATTTTGAAACCACTCATCGTAGAATTAAAGTAAGAAACAAAGCAAAGTAATCCTAAGAAAAAAGGATCTTCTTTTAATTTCTTGGCAAAATAAACAAGATCAAGCAAACTTTTGCTAGAACATTCACTCTATCATGTAGAATCATGATTAAACCAATGAAACCCTGAGCACTGTGTGTTATTGTTGTGTGAAATTCATAAACAGAAAAGTCTTTTTTCCCTACAGTTCAAATTTAACTGTGAACAACAGAGGAAAGCAATCAGCTGGCAAATTGTACTAATTCAATTTATCCAAAAGAGAAAGATATCATTACCAGCTCAACTTTAAACATCTGTAAAGCAAATCAAAAATTAAAATAAATAGTAGTGAAAAAGAAAAGAAATGGAAAAGAAAAAATGTGACAATGAATGTAGCTCAAAATACAAACAATTTCATCATTACTGTCATCTTCCTCCTTTTTCCCCTCTTTATTACCCATAAAAAAATGTCTAAACCATCAAAATTCGGCAAAATTTGTGATCTAAAAAATCTTGCTCACAGTCAAATTCACACGCACAAAAGACACACACACACACACACCAGGTGAATTAATTAATTCAAACACATTTAGAAAAAAAATAAAGACAATATATGGCCGTAGAACCCTTACCGGCGGCCCAATCCGTCAGCTTCCGAGCGCCGCCGCCGTCTCCTGTGGCTCCCGGCCGGAGATCCCCGTTCTCGAACGAAGACGTTCTAACGGAATACCTCGAGCAATCCCTAAAAGTCCCTGACCTAATTCTCCCCGACAGAGTTTTCCCCAAGCAAAAATCAGCTCAAAATCCACAGAAAGTCGACTTGCAGGACTTAATATCGCCGGAAAAAGATTCCGTCGGTGAGATTTCCGAGATGGTCGCGCAGACAGGGTGCTTGGAAGTGGTGAACCACGGGATCCCACGCGATTTGATTCGGCTTGTCCTGTTTCTCTCGGCCGGCATTTTCGAGATTCCGACGGAGAAGAAGAAGGCGGCGACGAGGTCGACGGAGAGGAGGTATGGATTCGAGGAGGCTCACGGGGAGGAGGAGAACGGAGATCAGAGTGAAGAGTTTTTGTGGTGTGGAGATGAAGGGATGAGGTCGGAAATGGAGGGAATTTGGCCTTTTGGATATTCTAATTTCAGGTAATTGTAATTAAATTAATTTACATCAATTATGTTTTTTTAATTATTATTTTCTTTTGCATAGTCATGTAAAAGTTTAGTTTGGTTTTATTATTAATTGATTTGAAATTTATTAATTGGATTCAAAATTTGTTTCAAACAATTTTATTTGCAAATTGTAATTTGTGTGGTGTTATGCCCAATGCAAATTCTTGTGTGAGATTGTCTAACCATTAGACAAGTTAGGCGGTCATACATCAAAAATGCATATTTATGTTATGAAATATTATATTTTTGTTATATTGTTTGTCAGAATATGACATTTATGAAAATTTCTAAAAAAAATATGGTTAACAAACTATTAAACCAGCCTAACAACAATCTTACTACAAAATATAACCCTATATTTGCTATTTAATAATTAGTCACTTTTATCTTCCTAAATCTTGAAGTTCTTAAAAACAATTCACTAATTTATATTATTTTCTTGTAGGTTATCATATGTCAATTAACAACCAGATGTCTTTTTATCTAAAACAAATTATATTACTAAGAATTGATATTACACAATTCATTTCATCCTTCATTTTTCTAACGAAAATGCGATGGCAATTGATACATTTACTGCAGCCAAGAAATGGAAAAGCTATATGAACAAATTGAAGAATTAGGTACTAAAATCCTACAATTTCTCGAACGTAATGGTAAAAAAAGATTTAATGAAGAAAATTGTTCACCGAACGACGGCCAAGAACTCGCCGGAAAATTTTGCTACATACAACAACACTGTCGGAAAATTGGAGGTGAGCCCCCGGAAAACTCCCTGAGATATGATGTCATCAGGATGCTTATAAGGGGGTCTGAATTTCCCCATGCATTGTGTATGCACATTTGCAGTGGATCAACTAATTTTCATGTTTATTCCAAGAAAGGTTGGTTCTCATTTTGCCCTAATGAGGACTCAATAGTCATCACAATTGGAGACAGGTTGCAGGTAATTATTATTATTATTATGTCATTATTTTATTATTTTTTATTTTAGCTTAATCAATCATTAATAAAATAAATTACATTGTGGATCTTTTGTACTATAATTTTTTTTTAAATAATAAATGTATATATGTGGGTTTGTGTATTTATGTATATATCAACGGTTAAAAAAAACCCATAAGCAATGCCCATGGTATGGTAGAATCTTCCCTATTATACCAAAGTCTATCTTAGTATTATAGTACAAGAAATGATGCCAATTAGCACCTCGTGGAACAAATTTAATCATGCATTTAAAGTAATGTCTGGTAATTATTCTATTCACCCGAAATTCCTACTTTGACTGCTCTCCAATTTATCATCATTGCTTAGACAATTCCAAACTAATATTTTATTTTTGTTTCAAATTTCCAAACCTGGTGGCAAGTGTATAATATAAATATATTCGTTGAATTTAGCATATTTATCACTTTTCTTACTTGCATTTGGCATCACATATTACATGGGCATAAGATTCTACACTACCTTTTACGATGGCATAAAATACACATTAATTAATTAAATTGAAATTTTTTTGCTTAATAATGTGAGTTCGTATGCATTTTTTCAACTAATTATTGAATAGTTTTTTTTAGCATATTATGCTCTATATTTTTTTAGTTATTGCACTAATTTGCTGTTGGGTCTAAAATTATTTTGTATGTCTTGCAATTTGTCAATTTTATATAGGTGATGAAAAATCAGTTCTATGAAAAAAATACTCCTCCTGTTTATTAAAAAGCTTTGCCGTTCTAGATTATTTTTCAATTATATATTTATAATGAATCTTAAAGTATGAAAAACACGGTAATTAAAGTATAAGAGATGGATTAAATAATATAAATATGTAAAGAATATAATAATTATTAGGAGATTAATAGCTAACTATATAGTTTAAGGGATTTGATGGACAACCATAGTATTAAGGGTGCTTTATTTATCTATTAAACAATAGATGAATTATTAATTTTTATTTTTTATTATTTGCATTGAATAACATTTATTGGTAAACGGATGAATAAACAATAAGCTATGGTAGAGATTCTTATTTATTTATTCATTTATTCTCATGTATAATAATTTCTAGGTTTGGAGTGGCGGAGAATATAAGCATGTAATTGGTCACCCAATATTTAAAGACGAAGCTGAAAAATGCATTTCTATGGGTTTCCTATTTTGCCCTCCGAACCTCAAGAACACTGTCAAAGATGACAAGTCTGTGACAATTACACTCAGCCAGCAGATAATTTTTGCTGTATTGATTACTCTTGTTTACCAATTCTCATTTTATATTTACCATATGTGGTAATAAAAAAAAAAAAGAAAAAGTGCAATCACAGTTGGGTGAAAAGCCCATTGAGACAGTTACATTTGAGTGGGCTATGGATCAACTTGATGGTGGTGCTTTATTGGGCTATCAGATGTCAGAGCTTCAGTGTCAACTGTAGCAAGCCCAATAACGAGTACATTGACTTTTTCTTTTTTCTTTTCCCAATTTAAAAAATATTGTTTTTGTAACCAATACCGATGCATTTCTGGAAGTCGCATATCAAGAACCGAAAGAACAACACTGCTACAACAATATTGGGGGTTAAGAGTGTTGCCTATGAAGTTGAAATAATTAAGGGGCATGGAAAAATATTGATGTAAAATTGTGCAACTAGGAAAATTCTTGAAGAAAATGGCATTGTTGAGGGGTCTAGATGGATGCTCACGCTTATTCCTAATGATGATGTTATATCGTTCAAGATTACGATTTAAATGTTGATAATTTGATGTTATCATATGGAAAACATTTTGAGAATTTGATATGGCATGACTTTGGGATAATTGCGGTGCATTTACACGTCCCTTTGAACAATTTGATTTTATATATTTGGAAAAGTATTTTGATTTAATGTGGAAAATATTTTTCTTTCCAATTTTTTGAAATTTTTTTAATAAAAGTCGAGTTCTCTTGCTAACACAAGAAAATAACAATCTTTCCCTTTTAACACTTTCCACCTGCTTTAACCGGTCAGCTTTCAATCAAAGACGACTGATGAACGATTTGTATCAATACTGATGGACGGATAGGCCATAAATATAGTATGTAAACTGAGTAAGTAGATAGATAGGGTTAGACATATCCAAAACCAGTTTCGGGCCAAGGACTGGCCAACCCTGTACTTATGTACGAGCCGATTCATTGAACCGAGAGTTCTAGGCCGACCCGATTCACTAAAATATTAAAAAAAAAATAATCTCTTTTTTAGAAAAAAAATCGAACCATCGATTTCCGAAACTAGCCCAACAGTTCAAAAAATATATATATGTGTGGTCAACCGAACCGGTCAAACCATGGGCTCGGTTTAAGGCCTGTTGACCACGAGCTGGTTCCGGGTCGGTTCTCCGGTTCGGCCCGTGGTGACGTCATCAAAAATGAAAAAGGAGATACTTTGGGGTACCAAAACTGACATTTTTCCTATATATTATATAAATCATTTTTCCATTACAAAACAGGAAAAGAAAAACTGAAAAAAAGAGATTCTACTCCACTGGTTTCTGCGTCTGTCAGTGTGTTCGAGTTGAGAAAAAAATGGACGATAAATTCGAGACTGTGAAAAAGGAAGACGATGATTTACCTGAATTTACATTGTCAGAGGTAAATCTTCTGGGTGTTCGTTTTTAATATCAAATGAAGAAGCTTGCTTTGATTCTTTTTCTACTTTTTTTTCTTTCTTTTTTCTGTTGTTNATGATTTTGCGTGATTAAGGAAAAAAAATGATTTCTTGTAATGGGGTTCATCTGGGTTTTTTCTTAAGTTTCACATCGGCCAATAAAGATAATTTTCATCTAGTTTTTTTTGTTTTAATTGATGAATTTTACAGCTTTATTGTACGGGGTATATTTTGTCCTTTACTCTGGAGAGGAAGATTGTTAGAATGAGGAGAACAGTATTTTTCTTTTGATGTGAAGCCAAAAGCAGATTGAGATTTGAGGCAGAGCTTTTGGCCACTTTGTTTATTTTTAATATTAGAGTTGTTTGCTTTTCTGGTTATGCTGAGCTTAACGAGTATTAAAAACATGGAAGGCGGTGTTTTACATCTCTACTCCTTTGAGGTTGGACTTATAATCAAGTGGGCTCTTTTATAATTTGTTTACAAAACTCTCACTCAGCTAATTCAACTATTAGTTTTTGCTAAAAGGGGCTGCCTTTTCTAAATGCAGAAGTCTTTCCCAAGAATTTCCTAAAAATAGAAAAAAATAAAAACAGAGAGAAAAAGAAAATGATTGATTATGGAAATGGCAGAATTGTCACCACATTGCATAAGTATTTTTTGTTGTATCTGAAGTTGCTGTAAGATGCTGTCCTTTTTACCCCTTTCACCTGTAAACAGGTACTCCAAATGGAGAAATCATTCAAGAAATTGAAAGATACGCCAATCGGTCAGGAGTTATATGAGGAGCTTTCTGTTAAGTTTAGGTAAGCTAGAATTCTTGCACTGACTTTGTCCACACGAGTAGTGTACAAATGTTTCCATTTGTGCTTTGTGACAAAGAAAGTTGATTTGCATTTGAAGTTGATATATCCTTCTGTGCTTATTACACAGTTCTTCTCCTTACCGTTCTGAAAAGCCTCCCATAAAATGGGAACAGGTAATTGTTTATTACTTAATTTGATTTTATCTTTTCTCTTAGGTTGTGAAAGCGTATTTATTCGCTTGCATACCCCATGTTTATTAAATTGCAGGTGCAAGTTTGGTTTCAGAATAAACAAACAGCTTTGTCAGCAGAAGTTGTTCCTTCTTCAGCCGATGAACCAAAGGTTGAATCAAAGGCGGTGATAACTGAAAAAAGGACTAAAGGTTGCCTATTCATTACCTTCAAAAGATCAGATGATTCTGTCCATTTTTTCTCTAAATGAGTCATTATGATTTACAGTAATCACATTTCAATTTTTCTATTTTTTATTTTGCTTTCACACAATCTAGTTATGCTTTCTGTTCTTGTGGGTTGATTTTCATTATATATCGTCATCATTTTATATATACATTTTTTCTTCGTGATCCTTTTGCTTTGAAACGCATATTGATTCTGTGCAAGTTCCAAGTCCAGATACTATCCATATATGAAATTTTGATTTTTGATATTTTCAATTTGGCTTGCTTTTTGCCCACAAGATAGTTATGAAATGCTTTCATTGACTGCTGAGAGCTGAAAAGTTCTGTAAATTCATTCCAGCACCAACTATTTCTGCCAGTGAAGCAGCTAAAGTGCTCCCAGACCTGATTTTCGAAGCTCAATCAGCTAAGGATAATGCATGGTGAGCATTCACTGATACTTTATAATATCTGCTCTTTTTTTTCTTTTTTTTTTTTTTTTTGGTCTTTCTGGAATATATAAATCAGGGGCTGAATATGGTGAGCTTTTAATCTGTACTGATGACCTAGATTTCTGCTGATGGCAATTGAACGCCTAGTTGTTGAAGTCAACCGTTGTATCACAGGCAGAGGGGGAAGTGTATCTTCCTCAAATTTCAAGAAGTAGATGGTGGTTTAACTTTAGTACTTTTCGGTAGATGTTAAAATGATCATACATTTACTATCATGACTTTCAAGAATCGTAATTCTGACTTTACTCTGAGTTGGATTTGTGTGTGACTAAGAAACTTGTATGAAGATGAACTTTTTTTTCAGCATCTGCATGAATCAGGATAGATAGACATAAATCTGTTTCATTTTGTTTCTCATATGAGTCCTATTATCACGTCATTTGATAGCTACTGAAACAATTTGAAAATAATTCTGATGAGATTTTCTGTGGCTTAAATAAATTTTTTATAACATATATTATCCTTTTAAGATTGATAAAACTGTTTTAGGCATTTCAAAGAGCTAGAAACAACTGTGATTGTTCTTCTGAAAATGAATCTTTCAACTTAGGTTGTGGTACAACTTTTGACTTTTTACCGTAACTATATTCTATGCAGAAGCAAATTAAATATAGATCATTTTTGGTTTTTGGAAAATGCATTTATTGAAGTGCTACTTCGTATTAAAAGATTATTGCGACACAACTCTTAAACTGTATGAATAATGCATTTCATTGCAATGGTTAATAACATCCTATAAACCTTTCTAAGAGAGCTTTAAACATAGCATGATAAGTACATAACTTATTATACGATCATAATTGTAATATGAATATTTAATTAGTTAGACGTGATCATCTTCCTAAAGTTTGGACGAAAATCCATACTATACCATCTTTCAGTTCATGCTACAATTCTTATAGGCAATCCTCAGTCCCTTTCTTTCTTTCTTTTTCTTTTTCTTTTCCTTATTCACTTCCTGAAGGAATCCAAAATTTTCAACCGTTGGTAAGTTGTTATTTAACTGGAAATAAATCAACCGTTGAAGTAAAAGCTTTTAAAATGTTGCTCGATTCAATTATTTTATTCGTTGTTTATGAGCCAACTGTACATAGAAATTATTGCCAAAAACCTCATGTTACTATGAAAATTCATGATACAATGATCACAGAGTACATAGTCTTGTTCTCACCATAAACTTCGAAGGACCTCTGATTGAATCATTTCATGATTAATGCATTATTTTGAAAGTATGATTAATGCATAATGTAATTTCCTCGATTCTCACTCTTAAACATCGTCCAAGGTATCCACTAATGATTAGCTCCATGTTTGACGTATTTGTGTTTAGTAGTCCATAATAATTTACCAAAAAAATGTAAAATGAAAATGAATTGAACGTTGAATAGAGAGTAAATAAGAATATCTAAACTATTTGAAGGCAAGGTTAGAGTCTTCGAGTAGCAAGTTGGTTTGGTAATATTCTCTGTTTCATATGGTCGAGTTTTGCATGGATTAGTAAGTTGGTTTGGTAATATTCTCTGTTTCATATGGTCGAGTTTTGCATGGATTAGTGTGCCACATTTATAGTACGACAAATACACTATGCACGTTGAGTTACTGTACATTTTGTTGGTGACCAGAACCGGAATCTGGTCAGGTGGGGCCCCGAGTAGAAAGACGAATTTGATGATAGGTGAGGCCAAAAGGGTAAAATATCAGCAGATTCCTTAACAAATGTAGCGTAATAAGATTTAGAACATTGTATGTATCCGTGCATACATACGTGAATTTGCCAATGGAACTTAATATAGGTCTGACTATTTAAAAAAAAAAACCTTACAGATTGCCTTGTGTTTGCTCGTTTTCCAGGTTTGACGTGGCATCTTTTCTGAGCTACAGAGTTCTTCACTCGGGGGAATTGGTAAATATCCTTTTCCCTTCGTTGCAGATTATTTGAGTTTATTTTATCAATGATAACTCTGCCAGTTAATGGAATATCACTTCAAACAAATGTCCTTTTCGTGATGAACACAAATGGATCTTAACAATTTGATATCGTTTTCATCTCAATAAGTAGAGTTTAATTTCATACAAATAGGTTGTGCGAGTGAGGTTTTCTGGTTTTGGAAAAGATGAAGATGAATGGGTGAGCGTGAAGCGAGCCGTACGTGAACGCTCGATTCCTTTAGAAAATTCAGAGTGCCACAAAGTCGATATTGGAGACCTTATGCTTTGCTACAGGGTAATTAATAAGCCTACTCTTTATTCCTTTCTCCAATGCCCACTTTGCATTTTTTTTTTTTTTTATATTGTAGATGGAAAATGAAAAGGGCCAAGTATAATAATACTAATCTCCATTTTGTGCAATATATTTTCCAGGAAGCCGAGCACAATGCACTATACTGTGATGCTCGTGTTACGGAAATCGAGAGGAAGCCACATGGCGGCAATCAATGCACGTGCATCTTTACTGTTCGATATGAAGATGATTACAGTGAGGTTGTGTTTTCCTGCTGAACATATGTTTTTTATTCTTATCTTAGAACATAAAATTTACGAAAAGCCACCCTTGAGTTTTGGCCTTATTACAAGAAAGGAAAAAAAAAAATTCCAATTCTTGATTAAAATTTCTTTTTACATCTTAGAAATTACACATTATTTAGAGGAAAAAAAAGGGCCGTTTATGATTATGAAGGAACTGGATTTTTTTATGTAGTTCGGCAAGTCCTTGGGTTCGGTTTTTTGTCGTTAAATCTTTGAATTAAGTGAAAATAATCAGTTTTTCATATTTATGACATTTTTTTTTACCGTTCTATATCTTCAATACAGGGCAAGCTTTCGCTAGACAAGCTGTGTTGCAGGCCGGCAAAATCTGTGGCTTCAGAAATTGAAGACCAAAAGCCGGTCTTAATAGTCTTTAAAAGTTGACCAGATGGTGCTTTAGCTGGTGTTTTGGCTGTGCTCTTATAACCCTCTTCGAATAAGTTTCCGAATGGAATGGAAAGTTCTGTATCGTATACTGACAGTAAAAAAACTCGATTGAAAATGTTAATTACTTGTTTACTGAACTAATTTACCCCATCTGGAAAAAGGATATTAAGATTATTGATTAGTGACTGTTTTACTGCTTGGAATTCGCCAGAGCAGAACTAGAAAACTGGATTTTTTTGGCTCGATTGCAAGATAAATAGCATAGTTGTGTTCCCAATGTTTGAAAATGATAGCTAACAATGTGTGTAATGAGATGGTGCATTCGATGAAAACACACTCTATAATCTCAGATAAATTACCATGACAGGTACAAAAAATAAAGATATGAATGTCAAAGAATAGAATATCATTTTAAGTTGAAACATGTAGATTGAACTATATTGTCCCTTTAGTTCTGACCATCATATTCATCAAGGTCATGTAATGTAGTCAGCCCATTTTTCTGCATAACATGTGAGACCACAAAACCACACACAGTCACACACAATATAGAATTAAATATCATATTTCCATCAGGTGTCCATACAGAACACCAACTTATAGAAAGTCAGGTCCCTAATGACATATACATCTAAATAAAGCAACTGTCATAAAAACTAACCTTCAACAGCAATGAAAGAAAAAAAAAAAATTCTTAGAAGCAATCATAATGACCTAACGTTCCACCTCATGCACTTTCCCTAAAAACTATAATAAAGCTAGCCTTGCTGCAAGTTATAATTCACGAAAGCCGAACACATTTTCAGCCTCAATCCATCTTTTACTACTAAGAAGATTCTGGAAGTTACGAGCCGGCAAGAGCCCTAAGAAACTGTACGACCAAAGCAAACAGACGCAAGGTATAGATTCTTTGCCCACTTCTCCTGTAATATCAAATAAACAAAAAAAGGACTTGTTAATGCCTGCAGTACATGAGTCAAGCGCGTAATACAAAGACAACTTACTGAAAAAAAATGGAGTTTTAGACTTTTTTTATGATCTGTATTTCCCCCGTTAAGACATTGCAAACACACTCCGTTTTTCTAACAGAAGCTGCTTCAAATGTGAAATTTACACAATACAAACATAAAGCGAAGATCATATTCACAATTTCAAATGATGGATGGTGTTTCTTTTTCCTTTTCTTTTTCATGTTAAATGGCTCAAGTATAGATTCAAGTAATAAAATTAATAATAATAATAAAAAAAAAAGAACTAACAGGGGTTTGGAATACTTACAAACAAACGCAAAGAAGTTCCATATTACTATTATTTTTAATCCAGGTTCTTATAACATAAAGAGAAG